GCCATTAATGGCTCACCGTGCTTCAATCTGGTTGTCAAGGGGGGTTCCTAAAATCCCCACCATCCCACTGCAAGACATCCTTAAAATGTCCATGTAAACCTTGCATTGCATGTTTCAGCAATTCCTACACCGAGGTGGTGAAAGCACACCCTCCTTGAGCTGCAGCGGCAGAACGGAATTTCTGCTCAACAGCATCGCCTGATCTGCGACGTTGCCACAAGTATGGAATTCAACCCTACACATGCTGCTGCTAGATTGACCGCCTTTACGAACACCTGAAAGGCCATCACATCGATTTCATGTGTTACAAAGCGATTGGCCTAGGTACTCCCCTGTGTAACTTCGATGTCAGTCATTGGCCAGCTCATGCGTGACACCTGCCGGGTTGCTCAGCATTTACGAGCGCCACCTATTCGTGAGTCGGCAGGACCCCCTATGGGATGAACTCGACGTCATTCCTCTGTTAGCACGTCCTGGAACAAATGCTCTGTTAACAATGGCTGGTCAGGGCTGCGGAAGACGTGGGCGCACAGATCTCAACGCCACATGACCCCTGTGGGGGCATGACAGGAAGAAGAGGAGGAGGTAGAGGAGGACATTTGTTGCTCAGGAATTTATTGAGTGGAAATGGGTGGTGTTTTCCACTCAGCTGAGACAGGAGAATGGAGTGAGCAATGAGCATCTGGTATAGGAGGAGGAGTGCTGACAGATGAGACCCAGACGCACCGTGCTGCAGTATGCCTGTGGAGATGTGGAAGTCAGGGAAAGTCCCATCTACTGCATTCCTAGGCACAAATGGCCCATAGCAGTGCTCGGCCCAAGGTTAGCTCGTGCGTAAGCGACAGGCCGAATAAGAACCAACAGACCAGAGTCCATGACCTTTTGCTGTCCACTAGTTTCTCTACCCACTCGCTTACCCGTTCCAAAATGGTGGCCTGTTTCACACCAAGCTGAGAAGGGGAGGCCAAAATAACTGGTACTATAAAAACCACCTAATGTAAGTCAGTTGGTCTCTGCCTTTGTGCGGCCAACGTCCAGGCATTCCTCAACGACACTGTGGGCCCCCTGTGCGCTCCCCAGGTTCCCTCTGCCATGGCCCCTAAAAGAGGGGTGCCTCCTCATAGTGAGCAGGTGCCATGCTCCACCAGCTGCGCGTGCTGACTCAGTCTGCAGTCCGCGAGTGATGATTAGCTTTTCTTCACCAGCGCAGTGAGGAAACTAGTAACCTTCAGCCGCTAGCAGCAGCAGTCATCAGGGTTGACCTAGGGAGCAGGGAAGATATCAAACAAAGCAGGCTTGGCCTACATGGACAGCACCGGCCTGCCCAACCGAGGTAGACATCCCCTTGACTACTGGGGCAACCTAAACTACCTTTGGCCCCAACTAGCTGAATTTGCCCTTGAAAGGCTGTCATCCCGGCCAGTTAGCGTGGCGCATCGGAGCGCGTGTTTGCGGTGCGTGCGGCAAGGAGGTGGTATTGTAACACCTCGCGGAGGACACGACTGTCCACCCAAAGTGTGGAGAGACTCACGTTTGTGAAAATGAATCAGGCGTGGATTAGTCTGGATTTCAAACCACCAGTTCCTGACACAACTGAACTAAATCCGCCATTGAATCATGCCCCTGCCATGTGCCACTTTCAGGTCTCCTCACACTGCTGGTGTGTTCCATTTTTTGTCATAGGGTGCTGGCAGATTACGGGCCTCCTATAGCTGCTGCCAGGCCCCTAATCTGCATGGGCCCCTGTACCTCGCCTCCTCATGCTGCTGCCAGGTCCCACAGTGTCTCATGCCGTGTGCCACTTTCAGGTCTCCTCACACTGCTGGTGTGTTGAATTTTTTGACATAGGGTGCTGGCAGATTACGGGCCTCCCATAGCTGCTGCCAGGCCCCTAATCTGCCATGGGCCCCTATACCGCCTCCTCATGCTGCTGCCAGGTCCAGAGTCTGTCATGGGTCCCTGTACGGCCTCCCATTGCTGCTGTCTCCATCGCCACACACTCTGCCATGTGCCACTTTCAGGTCTCCTCACACTGCTGGTGTGTTGAAATTTTTTGACATAGGGTGCTAAGCCAGATTACGGGCCTCCCATAGCTGCTGCCAGGTACCCCTAATCTGCCATGGGCCCCTGTAAATGCTGCCCCATCCGCACTCCTCATGCTGCTGCCAGGTCCACAGTGTCTCAAGCCATGTGCCACTTTCAGGTCTCCTCACACTGCTGGTGTGTTTGAATTTTTTGACATAGGGTGCTGGCCAGATTAACGGGCCACCCATAGCTGCTGCCAGGCCCCTAATCTGCCATGGGCCCCTATACCGCCTCCTCATGCTGCTGCCAAGTCCAGAGTCTGTCATGGGTCCCTGTAACGGCCTCCCATTGCTGTTGTCTCCAGGCCACAACACTCTGCATGTGCCACTTTATTCTCCCAGTCTCCTCACACTGCTGGTGTTCAATTTTTTTGACATTGGGGCTGGCAGATTACGGGCCTCCCATAGCTGCTGCCAGGCCCCTAATCTGCCAGGGACCCCAGCCCCTAATCAGTACCGTTCCTCCTCATGCTTGCTGCCAGGTCCATTAATCAGTGTCTCATGCCATGTGCCACTTTCAGTGTCTCCTCACACTGCTGGTGTGTTGAATTTTTTGACATAGGGTGCTGGCAGATTACGGGCCCCCCATAGCTGCTGCCCAGGCCCCTAATCTGCCATTGGGCCCCTATACCGCCTCCTCATGCTGCTGCCCAAGTCCAGAGTCTGTCATGGGTCCCTGTAACGGCCTCCCATTGCTGTTGTCTCCCATCGCCACAACTCTCTGCCATGTGCCACTTTCAGGTCTCCTCACAACTGCTGGTGTGTTGAATTTTTGAACATTGGGTGCTGGCAGATTACGGGCCTCCCATAGCTGCTGCCAGTAAAACTGCCCCTAATCTGCCATGGGCCCCTGTCATGGTCCCTGTACCGCCTCCTCATGCTGCCTGCCAGGTCCACAGTGTCTCATGCCATGTGCTCACTGTTCAGGTCTCCTCACACTGCTGGTGTGTACAATATTTTTTTGACATAGGGTGCTGGCAGATTACGGGCCTCCTATAGCTGCTGGCAGGCCCCCTAATCTGCCATGGCCCCTATACCGCCTCCTCATGCTGCTGCCAAGTCCAGAGTCTCTCATGGTCCCTGTACGGCCTCCCATTGCTGCTGTCTCCATCGCCACACTCTGCCATGTGCCCACTTTCAGGTCTCCTCACACACTGCTGGTGTGTTGAATTTTTTGACATAGGGTGCTGGCAGATTACGGGCCTCCCATTGCTGCTGCCAGGCCCGTAATCTGCCATGGGCCCCCGTACCGACTCCTCATGCTGTGACGTTGCAACAAGGTGGAATTCAACCCTACATATGTTAGACCCCCTTTACGAACAGCAAAAGGCCATCACAGATTTCCTGATGTTAAAAATGCGGATAAAGGTACTCCCTGTGTAACTTAGATGTCAGCCATTGGCAGCTCATGCGTGACACCTCGCTTGCTCAGGCCCACATTTGAGGAGGCCACGCTATTCGTGAGTCGGCAGGACTATGGGATGAACGACACGTCATTCCTTGCACGTCCTGGAACAAATGCTGTTAACAATGGGCTGGTCAGGGTGCGGTAGACGTGGCGCACAGATCTCAACGCCACATGACCCCTGTGGGGGCAGGACAGGAAGAAGAGGAGGTAGGTAAGAGAGGACATTAGTGCTCAGGAATTATTGAGTGAAATGGGTGGTTTTTCCCCTCCAGCGGAAACAGGAGAGATGGAGGAGAAAGGAGCATCTGGGTAAGAGGAGGAGGAAGAGGAGACAGAGGACCCAGACGCACCGTGGCAGTATGCTGTGGAGATGGAGGCAGGGAGTCCCTCGCAAGTTCCTTGGCACAAATGGCCCATAGCATGCTCGCTTGCTTGCGTAGCCGACAGCCGAATTCTAACCATCAGACAGAGGGATGACTTTTGGCTGTCCACCTGTTGGACCCTCGCTACCGTTCAAAAATGGTGGCCTTTTTCACACCTGCCTGAGAGGGAGGCCAAAATAACGTACTATAAAAAACCACCTATGTAGTCCAGCTGGTCTCTGCCTGTCTGCGCCAACGCCATCCCATCCTCAGACACTGTGGGCCCTGTGCGCTCCGCGTTCCGCTGCCATGGCAGCAGGGGAGGGGTGGGTGGGTAGGAGCAGTGGCAGCTCCACCAGCAGCAAGCTGCCTCAGTCTGCAGTCGATGATGAGTAGCTTTCTTCACCAGCGCAGTGAGGAAACTACAAACCAGCCGCAGCAGCACTCAGCAGCATCAAGGTGGACCTGGAGCAGGACCTCAAACAACAGGCTTAGGCCTACTTGGACAGCACCCTGCCAACCGAGGTAGACAATCCCCTTGACTACTGGGCAACGAAACTTGACATTTGGCCCCAACTAGCTGAATTTGCCCTTGAAAGGCTGTCATGCCCGGCCAGTAGCGTGGCATCGGAGCGCGTGTTTAGTGCGGCAGGAGGTATTGCAACTCCGCGGAGGACACGACTGTCCACCCAAAGTGTGGAGAGACTCACGTTTGTGAAAATGAATCAGGCGTGGATTAGTCTGGATTTCAAACCACCAGTTCCTGACACAACTGACTAAATCCGCCATGAATCATGCCCCAAACATGTGCCACTTTCAGGTCTCCTCACACTGCTGGTGTGTTCCATTTTTTGTCATAGGGTGCTGGCAGATTACGGCCTCCCATAGCTGACAACAGTTGCGAGCACGCACCCGACGGTGCAGAAGCTGAACGTCCTCCTGTCCAAGTTGCTGCTGCCAGGCTCGTAATCTGTCATGCGCCCCTGTACCGCCTCCTCATGCTGCTGCCAGGTCCAGAGTGTGTCATGGGTCCCTGTACGGCCTCCCATTGCTGCTGCCAGGCCCGTAATCTGCCATGGGCCCCCGTAACAACTCCTCATGCTGCTGCCAGGCCCGTAATCTGTCATGGGCCCCTGTACCGCCTCCTCATGCTGCTGCCAAGTCCAGAGTCTGTCATGGGTCCCTGTACGGCCTCCCATTGCTGCTGTCTCCATCGCCACACTCTGCCATGTGCCACTTTCAGGTCTCCTCACACTGCTGGTGGGTTCCATTTTTTGTCATAGGGTGCTGGCAGATTACGGGCCTCCCATAGCTGCTGCCAGGCCCCTAATCTGCCATGGGCCCCTATACCGCCTCCTCATGCTGCTGCCAGGTCCAGAGTGTCTCATGGGTCCCTGTACGGCCTCCCATTGCTGCTGTCTCCATCGCCACACTCTGCCATGTGCCACTTTCAGGTCTCCTCACACTGCTGGTGGGTTCCATTTTTTGTCATAGGGTGCTGGCAGATTACGGGCCTCCCATAGCTGCTGCCAGGCCCCTATAATCTGCCATGGGCCCCTGTACCGCCTCCTCATGCTGCTACCAAGTCCAGAGTCTGTCATGGGTCCCTGTACGGCCTCCCATTGCTGCTGTCTCCATCGCCACACTCTGCCATGTGCCACTTTCAGGTCTCCTCACACTGCTGGTGTGTTGAATTTTTTGACATTGGGTGCTGGCAGATTACGGGCCTCCCATAGCTGCTGCCAGGCCCCTAATCTGCCATGGGCCCCTGTACCGCCTCCTCATGCTGCTGCCAGGTCCACAGTGTCTCATGCCATGTGCTACTTTCAGGTCTCCTCACACTGCTGGTGTGTTCAATTTTTTGACATAGGGTGCTGGCAGATTACGGGCCTCCTATAGCTGCTGCCAGGCCCCTAATCTGCCATGGGCCCCTATACCGCCTCCTCATGCTGCTGCCAGGTCCAGAGTCTCTCATGGGTCCCTGTACGGCCTCCCATTGCTGCTGTCTCCATCGCCACACTCTGCCATGTGCCACTTTCAGGTCTCCTCACACTGCTGGTGGGTTCCATTTTTTGTCATAGGGTGCTGGCAGATTACGGGCCTCCCTTAGCTGCTGCCAGGCCCCTAATCTGCCATGGGCCCCTGTACCGACTCCTCATGCTGCTGCCAGGCCCGTAATCTGTCATGGGCCCCTGTTGTCGCTTGTTGGCATATTCCGCTCGTTCAGATGCTCCTTCTCCTGCTACTCCTCTTCACGTCAGCAGTCTTTCTTGGAATCCGTTTCCAAGAGACAACAGTTTGCGAGCACGCACCCGACGGTGCAGAAGCTGAACGTCCTCCTGTCCAAGTTGCTGCTGCCAGGCTCGTAATCTGTCATTCGCCCCTGTACTGCCTCCTCTAGCTGCTGCCAGGTCCAGAGTGTGTCATGGGTCCCTGTACTGCCTCCCATTGCTGCTGCCAGGCCCGTAATCTGCCATGGACCCCCGTTCCAACTCCTCATGCTGCTGCCAGGCCTGTAATCTGTCATGGGCCCCTGTACCGCCTCCTCATGCTGCTGCCAGGTCCAGAGTGTGTCATGGGTCCCTGTACGGCCTCCCATTGCTGCTGTCTCCATCGCCACACTCTGCCATGTGCCACTTTCAGGTCTCCTCACACTGCTGGTGGTTTCCATTTTTGTCATAGGGTGCTGTATGGCCTCCCATTGCTGCTGCCTCCACCGCCACACTGTGGCTCCACACTCTGGTTTTGGCCCCGTGACTGCCCAAATGAGTGAAGTGTGTGGTGATTCTAAGATCGACGGCACTCATCTGCATGTCATACTGACTGTCAGTATTATTTCTCTTCCCAGCAGACTCCAAGGGCATTTAAATTAAAGGTACAGTGTTCTGCACTAATATAAAGTCTCTCTGAAGCCTAGAAACACCCTTTTATAAGTTAAATTCGCAGCGAATATATTCGACTCGAATCAAAATTTTTCCACGAATTCGCCGAATCAGTCAAATCGAATTTTTGAATACTTCGCTCATCTCTACTGATGACATACAAATCTATCTTTCTACCCCTCACCTCACCCCTTCAGTCTCCTCTGCATTACTATCCTACTAAGAGACATATCGGCATGGATGTCACTCCACTTCCTCAAACTCAATCTTTCCAAAACTGAGCATTTAGTATTCCCCCAGCCCGTGCCCCCTCCCCTGACTTCTCCATCAAGATCAATAACACAATCATCAGTCCCTCCCCTCATGCCAGGGTGCTAGGTGTAATCCTAGACTCCCATCTGTCTTTTCACCCCCAAATCCAATCGCTGTCCAAATCTTGTAGACTTCACCTCCACAACATCTCCAAGATACGCCAGTTCCTAACCTCGGAAACTACTAAGCAACTTATTCACTCCCTTGTTATATCTCGCCTTGACTATTGTAACTCCCTCCTCATTGGCCTACCTCATCGCACGCTATCCTCTCTTCAGTCTATCATGAATGCTGCTGCCAAACTCATCTACCTTACTAACCGTTCTGTATCTGCCACCCCTCTCTGCCAATCCCTCCACTGGCTTCCCATTGCCCAACGCATAAAATTCAAAACATTAACAATAACGTATAAAAGCCATTTATAACTCTGCCCCAATTTTCATCAACGATCTTGTCTCTAAATATCACCCAAACCGTACTCTCCATTCCTCACAAGACCTCCTGCTCTTTAGCTCCCTTGTCTCCTCCCCCCATACTCATCTCCAGGACTTTTCCAGAGCTTCTCCCATCCTCTGGAACTCTCTACCCCAATTTAACAGACTATCGCCTACTCTGCTCACTTTTAGGCGATCTCTGAAAACCTATCTCTTCAGGGAAGCCTATCCTGCCCTCAGCTAATAATGGAATCTTCTACTCTTCCAACCAGTCCATCCCCCACAGTTACTACCTTTTGTACCACTAGCCCCTCCATCCTAGATTGTAAGCTCCAAGGAGCAGGGCCCTCTTTTCCTTCTTATATTGAACTGTTTTGTTGCTGTATTGTCTCCTGTTATATTGTAAAGCGCTGAGCAAACTGTTGGCACTATATAAATCCTGTATAATAATAATAATTAACTAATATTATTTTTGTATAATTCTCCCAAGGGGGCATGGCAAGGGTGAGTATTCTCAGCCTACATACTTTTGCTACTAAGTGTCCCTCATTTTCATCTCAAAAGGTTGGGAGGTCAGACAGAAGTCTGAGATTGTTATTGGATTAATTTACATGTTTCTGGGTCATCAGTTACTCTACTTAGGGAGATTGAACCTTGCAACCTAGTTGATATGATCTAGGATTCCATAGGAGGAGGTTATCCCTGGTTTTATGCCCTAATGTCATCATTTGGAAGTACAATCTTATCATTTTATTTGTTATAGGTGATTTACCTGCACTATCGTACAAGGATAGGTGGTTTCACCTAGATTCCAGTGAAGCAGGGTACATTTGATGATTTTGGTATATAGAGTACATACTTGCAGGCTGCCTATTACAATCAGATACCCAAGGATTTGATAGTTATTTCCTTTCTTTTATAGATACCTGTAAATCCTCTGAACTGTTTCAAAGATCAATTCAGTAACCTTATATATGATTATCCTTTAGTCATGCATACTTGCCAACTATCAGACAGGTAAAATCAATACCTAATACAATGCCTTATACATTATTTAACATGTTTATTTTCCATCCTGAAATAAATAGCTTAAATCCCTCTTGGTAATAAGTATTCTTGTTGATTTCCATACAATTAAATGGTAAGTCCATCATAAACGGATGCTTCAGTCACTCAGCATCTTAAATCACATGGAGTCTCTTTCTCATTTCTCTTTCTGCATTTTCCATAATATAAAATATTTAAAAATCATCTTACAGTTGGATCCAATTTTGCAGGTTACAGCAGGTGTACAGATATGGAATCGCAAAAACAGAGGTCTCCTTGCTTGAGTCCAATAGATATTTAAAAAAAAAAACCTTAGTTTAACTTTCCAGCATCTACAGCATAAAAAAAATATGTTTTTTAAATGGACTTTATACTTGTTTAGTGTTGTCATTTTCATACTGGTTCCATCTTTGTACATGTATGGAAAGCCTTCATTCATGCAGATGTACTGCATAGCTCTGCTTAGACCCAAAGTCCTACAGTACTTCTCTGCCCATACAGAATAGGGGGACAGATGGCATTGTTGCATAAACAAGAAAGACAGAAGTGCTGCATCGCAGCACAAAAACACAAATAAAAAAAGTGAGCGAGGGAGGGGTGAGAAGGCAGGCAAAAACAGGTCTTTATTAAGTGTTCTTGCATGACAAGACCACTTACTGTTATCTCACACATATATTCCTATTATTATAGCCAAATTTACCACCCTAACTCCTCCCACAGTTTTTACACTACATAGACAGTAATATACGGAAACGTGCGGATTGTTCCCGATTGGTGTGCTATTACTTTGTGGAACGTTTCGCCGAATGGTTCACGAAATATCAGCGTTTTTGTGGTGAAATTGGTCCCATAGGAATGAATGGGCGGAATGTTCAAAACTAGAGTGGGAGCTGACAAAAGCTAGAGTGTGAGCTGAAAAATCAGGACATGATTTATAAACTGCCATCACTCCCTCATTTTCAAGCCCACCTACACAAATCTTATATCAAAACGTTCAGCTATCCCTGTTGCCACTAAAAATGTCCACGGCTAAGCCATAGTCCTGATGGTTTTCACAATATGACCATTTGTTTGCAACTCACGCCGGCGATTGACATTCATTGAAACTCCACTATAGCCTCCTCAAATTTGAAGGGCAGGTTCTAAACTGCGACTGTGCCTTCATTTTAATATGTCAGAGACATACTATACATCAAAATGTAGGTCTGGGTCTTGTGATTCTCACAATATAAAGCTCTTCGGTGTAGGATTTATAATTTTTTTTAACTACAACCGTTTGAAGATGGCAACCATTAGTGAAGTGAGCAAGTTGGAGCAGTTTGTTTTTAACCACTCCTCTCTGCCCTTGCTGTAGAGTGAGTTGCCATAGGAACCCAGGTGTGTGAGCAGGCAGCAGAGTGACAAAAGCTAGAGTGTAAGCTGAAAAATCAGGACATGATTTCTAAACTGCCATCACTCCCTCATTTTCAAGCCCACCTACACAAATCTTATATCAAAACGTTCAGCTATCACTGCTGCCACTAAAAATGTTCACGGCTAAGCCATAGTCCTGATAGTTTTCACACAATATGACCATTTGTTTGCAACTCCCTCCGCCCAACTCAAGCCACTCCACCCAGTTATTCCGCCCACTCCAGTTGTAGACTACTGGTGGAGGCAAGAACACTTTCACACAATTTCCTTAGAAATTGTAGATTTTCTAGTTTAGGATGAAAGTCTCTTGTGACTCCTGACTATTACACATTGTCACAGATTTTCTTTGACAAGAAATTCAAACTGAATTGTTAAAAGTGGTCCATCAGTGATGATCCCCGTATTCCATACCTGCTCCTTTACAATGTTAAAATGGATCTAAAGCCAAAACTTTTTGTTTGGTTTTGAATGCAGTATGAAGTAGGGTAGTAGTTTGCCTAAAACCCCTGGTTTTTTTTTTTTATCCTTTTGGGGAGAATTTATTCCACTACCTGTCTCTAGACAAAATGGAAATACCATGAAGGAGAGCTCTCTTAGATGTTCCCTCTATTCTAGTTCCAGTGACAGGTCAAAATTTGGATTTTCCCTTACTCTTAAGCCCAGTACAGGAAAATCGGATGAATGATCATCTGGTTTTCCTTGATGTTTCACAGAAGGTCGAAACTGAGGAGAGTGCTAAATCTGCGAAAATTCTCATACAACAAAGGTTTTTTTTT